ACGCACGCACGCACACACACACGCACATGCACACGCACACACATACACACGCACGCAAGCACGCGCGCGCGCCCACACACTGACATACACATACATAAATATACACATGCACATACACATCAGTTAATATGTCTTTTAACCTAGCTAGAAGACTCAGGATTATTATTGGTCCTGACGATGTATTGTATATACCGTAACCAAACCTACATAACCTAACGTCAATGACCTATCCTTTGCACAAACTTTTTGGGGATTTTGTTTGTCATTAGAATTACTTTAGATTTTATCAAGCTGAGATATAAAAATATTTTTCGGACGAAAGTAACGTTCAGTAAAATGTATAGTCCGTTCAAGCAGCTTCCGCATTTTTAAAGCAGCTTTCTTGAAACTATAGCTACTTTAAGACAATAGCAATAATTCTTAAATTTATTTTAATTCTGTAAAGTTCAATACTACGAAAAATAATATAATATTGATAATAATTTTATTACTATAATTAATAGAATCAGACGAAATTCCTTCTTCAGGGATCTTAGCTATAATTTTATTTTATTATTAACTAAAATGTTTTAAAAATAGTCGCAATAAGAATTAGTAAATAACAGGACCCACTTCTACTGCGCGTGAAGATTACACGCACTATTTTCATCTTTAGGAAACGAGGTTTTTGCGATGTTTTCCTTCATCACCACAAAAAAAATCGATAATAAAAATTGAAAATAACAATTTCAATCAAGATAACAAGAATCGAACTCGGGTTGTTCGCGTGCTTTGAAATTTAACAAAACGCTAAGTTCCTGTCTAACCACTGCTCAAGTGTACACAATGTAACAATAAATGAATAATCTTTATACAGATCGCAAATACGCAGGCGACATTTGCTTGGAACATTACAGACGTGATGACGATGTGCGTAAGCATGTATTTAACTTCGTACTTTCAGGATTTGAACGAAATCATCAATAATCAATACGTAAGTTACATTGTAATAAAAATAATAAGTTCCATTAAAATAAAAACATTTTCGATATTTAAATTATATTTATTCGTATGTATGTAATTACTACGGTTTAATGTTAATAATCTACATTTAAACGGAAATAAAACTCAATGTATTAAATTTACAACAACGAATGTTAAAAATCCGAGTATCAATGTGTTTTTAAATGGGTAAAAACTGAGCCCTGTTGAATCCACTGTTTTTCTTGGCATCACTCTCGACACAAAGCTTCAGTGGTCTTCTTGCTGGTTCTTACCAGGACAGAGGTATTTTTTTTCGAACCAGTGGTAAAGTAAAAAAAATACTTTCAATAAGAATTACACATGTGATCTATATTGAATAAAAAATTATTCTATTCTATTCTATTCTATTCTACTCTAAGATTAATTACTTCATTCTGCTTTGGTGTCATTACAGAAGTCAATGTCCTGGGAGAAATTGTGCATCTTGTATTCACAACTTGTGGCCCTCGTGAAAGAAATAGACTCCAGATTCTGCTATCTTATACTGTTATCGTTCTTCACTAATCTGTTCTTCATCTGCCTGCAGCTATTCAATACTTTAAAGTAATTAAATGTTACATGTATTCAAATGATTACTTAACTTTAAAGCTAACTTCTAATTAAGACCAGGATTTCCTATGTTAAGAGGCTTATAGCGCTGCATGCATATTTATCTAGCGCGAAATAAGCGTGTGACATTTATTTGAGCATATTCTGTTTAAAGAAGTATTAAATCTCGAGCTGCAAAATTAATACGATATTTTGTACAACCTGGCTTTAAAAATTTCTCTTGTAACCTGAAAGCGTCCACAAACATAAATTGCCAACGGAAAATTAATTAATTATTTATTTATTATTTATAACTATGAGATGAACTTCGGAGGAGTCCAAAAAAAATTTACATAATAAAATTTGTATTTAATAAAGAAGTTACAAGAGTGCATTTATATCACTTATTACTAATAACTTTATTATTCAGGGATGTCTTAACGTCCCAATGTTATGTGACAAAAGGCATCCCAGGATTCCGGCAATCAGTTTTAATTGATCATTGAAGCGCCGTTGCGTAATCCTAGCAATCGACAAACGAATGATCATGCATGTGTTTTCGTCGTTGTATCTAACGAGTGTAACCTGGGATATAACAAACCATATCCGACAGAAAGCCGCGGGGGCAAATCCAACGTTTCGCTTAGTCGAGTAAATAAAAATGTAAGGTTTTTTTTTTTATAGAAGGAAGGCAAACGACGAGCATGCGGCTTACCTAGTGTAACTAAAGCCACCCTGTTTATGGGTATTACAAGTAATACAAGTACGAGTACAAGGGTATTAGGAATAATTGCAAGGTGACTTGTCGGATTTTTAAAAAGAAGTGGGCACTTTTCTTGATGGTTTATAAATGTTGTCGGTCCGAAAAATTGTTCAGCAATTTTCGTACCACAAGGAAGTTGTGTACACATTTATGAAAACAAAATATAATTTTTGAAATAATGTTCGTTTATTAATTTTATGATGTTTTTTTCAGTTATGGAATTCCCAGGCAAGGCAATTATGGTGATAAAAACTTTAAAAAGTAAGTGATTTAACGTGATTTATGTGAATATTTATTGAGGGCGTGTTTGTTCACCAGTTGAGCTGAACAATTTTTCTATCAGCAAAAGCCATTGGCTCCATACGTAAAAAACATCTGTCACCATCACAACTATCACCTTCATCCTCTACTGGACATGTGTCACCTCCATTACGGGGAAAATTGTAATCATCGTGCTTGACGGTTGGATTAGCAATCTTTCTGCCAGACGTATTGTAATTTTGACGCTGCCTTATGCCTATCGGACACCATCAGATCGTTCTGGCATTACTTCTAGTCGCTTCTTATCACAACCTTGGTGCGAAAGGGGATAATGAACTTTCATATGCCGCAAGCACACGACGCAAGTTGTAAATGTAACTCAATTGTAAAATATTTCATTCCGTTTTTTATGTGCATGCGTATACTACATATATGCTCCTGTGTATCAAATGACGAATAAAAATATTTTTTAACATTTTAACGATGCAGGTATATTATTTAATAAGATTCCACCTTCACACAATACCAGCGAAAAGCTGTTGGGGGGAATTATTCTATTCTAATTAGTCATGAGGGGTGACAACATTTCTGTATTTTGATTCTTAATTGACAATAGATGTACGTTTATATGGGCCACACCATTCACTTTCAATAAAGTTAAGTGTGAGCTCGTTTTTTATTCTGTTTAGGCTTTATCATTGACCTTATGATGTAAACGTAGTGAAGATCGACTAATATAATTGCCAGAATAAATATAGACGTTTATAATGTTTAGCTTTTTTATTTTATAGAAATGTAATATGCAAGGCCTTATCTACAATAATGTGAGAAGGCAAGTAAACTATGAAAGACTTATAAAGCAGAGGCGAGCAGTGAAGCTAAGCCGTATCGAAAACTGAAGCGCAAACAATAGCTGAAAGGAACGAGAAGCATCAGTAATGCGATAAAACTAAATAAAAGTCACCAATTCGGTCATCGGTGATAAAGAAAAGAAGTGGGAAACACCTTGTGTATCACAGAGTCGTACGGAAATTTCTATAGCGTGATTTAGGCTTCAGTTGTTTGTGCATATCAGTCACTAAGACACGGTGTCATGCTGCAATAAATTTGTTAATATATGGATCGTAAGCGGAAAGTACGCTTATTGTTTTTTTTTTTATAAAACTGAAATATCAAACGAACTTACAATCCTCCTGATCATAATTTTCCACTGCAGTCCAAGGGTGGCTGCAACTAACTTTTAACAAAGCCGCCATGTTCAAAGTTGGTTAGATCATCATCTCTGAAGACTAAGATAGAATGCTTTTCAGCTTGTACTCTATATCCTTCAAACCAGAACATGGCTGTACAATCACAACTATTTGGCAGCAGAAACAGGTAAACGTGTGGTATTCAACGGATGGTAAAAGAGTCCTAAAATTAAGTAAACTTAAATTTCCTTTGTCCACAGTTCCATTCACAGCACCGTATACCTATTATACTACCTTTACTCCTTCGTGTTTCTAATCACTAGAGCGACTGTGACGTGTTTGTTAGCAGCAAACGTAAACAAAGCTGCACAAGAGCCCATGTTTGTTGTTGGATATGTCCCCGCATCTGAATACACGCTTGAAGTAAGTCATCTTGATGATAATTGAAGGAGATATATACAGGGTTATTTTGCAATAACCGGCCAAATTTGCAGAGAAGGTTCCAAATAAGTAATAAAGGCAAATGTTGAACAAATATTAATTAAAACAATGGCAAATGTTCTGTCTTTTTTAAATTCATAATGTGGGGTAATACATTATTTAACTGATTTTACTGCGCACGCACATATTTGTAAGGGTTGATCGGTAGGCAAAAACGTTGTAGCCCATAAATCACATTCAATTTGGGATTATTTCAGATAAAATTAGAAGCCTTTTTTACTCGTATTTTCAAAAACTGCAATAACGATATATCATTATGTATATATCTAAACTTAAGTTTTTAATCTTTTATTATATACAATATTAAAATTTTTATTAACGTGTAACGTTGTGAAAAGATGATTTTTTCTCCTCGGGATCATTTTTCTTTCTAACCCATCATCGAAGGTATCTTAAATACTATGTCTTCTTTTTCGGGAGCGTTTCACAAAAACCTGTATAAAAGGTATTATGAAAAAATTCAGGCGTAGAATTGTGTAAATTTTCCCCACTTGATGCATTTACAGATTGGGTATTTGAAAATAACTTATTACTGCAGAAGTCACGTCATATTCGAATAAATAATATTTTTGTCCAGGTGCAGCGATTCAACCGTCAGATCCGTTACACCACGACCGCTTTAAGTGGAGTGTATTTTTATGTGACACGTAGCACCTTACTTTATGTAAGGCAATTTGAAATATATAGCACAAAATGAAATATGATTACGCAACTGAACAGGTTTTATCTTTCAGGTTGTTGGGACTATAATAACATATGAATTGGTACTTCTACAATTTAATTTAGAAACCGCAGAAGATGCTGACTTAAATTATAATGGGACTTTGTACAAATATATAAAAATGACGGTTTAATTATTTCTAATATTGCTTTTATCGTGTATATTACACGCGCAATATAGTCAATTTATGTACTTTGTGATCATATAATATAATTTACATATACTATATGGGTATTGATGTATCTATAATGTAATTCATTACTAGAATATAAATATTACGCACAATAATGTTTGAATATATTATAAAGAAATTCGAAAATAATTGAATAAATTGGTTGGCATTTTTTCTATCTTGTATTTATTTTTTGTCTTGCATTCAGATTAAATTTAAATTTTTGCTTGTATTGATTAGAAGGTTATTATCTCATTACAATATACATACATACATACATATTATTACGCCTCTTTTCCGTAGGGGTAGGCAGAGACTACTTCTTTCCACTTGCTACGATCCTTACATACTTGTTTTGCTTCGTCCACTTTCATTATTATTACAATATACAGAGTTTATAATTTTCAAAAGAAGGAAGTTATAGATTTCGGCCCAATTTTGAGAATGCGAGTTTTCATCAGACGGTTTGAGGTCCTAGGATACCGTTCCGATTTCCAGCTGAACGACCGGCTGAACTTGTGTATGTGTGTGTATGTATGTATGTAAATAAAATTTTGTCATACGATATGTTTACAACGAATTTACGAATACAGGTGGATTCATTGAGAATTCGAGCTGATTAGATTTTCAAGTCAATCAGTCAAGCTCTTACAAAGATTTTCTAAAAATAAAAACCAAAAAGAACAAAAATAAAATAGATTTTTTGAGCGTTGTGCTCGAACTTAAGCGGGAAACCGATCAACCGTTTTTCATGTTTTTTATTTTTTAATGTATGTAACACAACTAGTACGCTGGACTGGCATTAAAGCGATGTCATTGAGGGAACAAAATTTGACATAATTTGCAAATGGTCAGAGTTTTGCTCAAAACCTCTAAAAGTATTTAAAAGTTTTAAACGGGAAAAAAGGGTGTTGTGTATTTAGGTAATGTTTCCTGTTAGTAATATAACAAAAAGTATTTTTAGTAACAATGATAATGTAAAATTCGTCAAGAGAAATGAAGTGTGCTAACATTCCACAAGTAAGGGAATTTACAGTTTTTATTAAAAATTTAAACTATTTGATAATAATATAGGTTCTTACTTATATTATTAAATGATTTTACTAACATGTTTAGCTTTAAATTACCTATTTTTGATAAATAATCAAATTCATTAGGGTTGACGAGTTCCTTGTCGATAATACTTATTGATGTTTTTTTCTACTTACATCAACAATGAGTCCTTGACAACAGATAATTATCAAATATTTATTAATTTACAAGCTTTCAACAGACTAACAAATGTAGGTAACTAAAAAGCATAAAACTTGTGAGTTGGCATCCAAAGCAAATGGATTAAAACGTCAATGATTTGTAGTATGATATTCTTTAATGAAATTAAAAATTTGGAAAATTCTTATTGTTCCTCTTAGATTTGTACAAACATGCATAATATTTTGGCAGCTTATTGATTTTCTCTATAACTAGGACTAAATAAATGGTTAACAATAAAGACTACGTTTTTTTTTAATTTTTATTTTGTTTTTACCTACTCCAGTTTTACTACTCATTGGGTTTTATAAACATCTCGAATGAACCATACATACCCAATGATTAAACCTGTTCTATAGTTACGAAGAAAAACGTAGATAGACTAATGCAGTGTCGATTTTTGTTTTATTAGAGGTATAAAACTTGTGTCTCAAACATAAGTATTAATTTATATTATTTATTAATTGATTGATTAATCAGTGGCTTGGTCGTCCACGGTGAAATAAGAGGAACCCACATGGTTGGCCTGAGATGTAGGGTTGGCCCTAGGTGGCCACTCCGAGTGGGCTTGGCGAGCCCACTTCGGATGTATGTTGGAGGGTTGCGGCGAGAGGTTTGTCCTCTCCTCCCACCGCTGCAGCCAAGGTGGAGTCGCGGAGGAAGAGGAGTGTTTTTATAGTGATGCGCCACTCGCCCTATCCTCCTTGATTCTGGCGGTGTCACAGTTAATGCCGTAGTGGTGGGGCGGTGGGGGAAGAGAAGTTTCGGTATTGCATAGCACCACTCTCCCTACCCTTCGCGGCGAAACTTGGTTAGCGGCGCAGCCAAAGATCACATCCACCACTGGGGTCGGGAAGGCTAGTACATCCGAGTACTGTTTTTCTTGGCCCCATGGCCTCCGCGCATTGGACTCAGGAGGATCCGTTTCGCAGGTAGAGTTCAACGCCGTGGAGGAAGGCACACCTTGTTCCTGGTGCGCCTTACCTGAGAAGAAAAAGGGGGAGGAGAATTTCTCCCCGAGGGAGGGGGGCGCAATAGGATGGCCAGCGCACAGCATTTTCGTGGCTCTCACAAAATGCGGCAAAGGTGGAACACCATGGGTTTTTAGTCGGTGCGAGTCCGACATAAACCGTCCTTGCCCCCGCGAGGCGGGTATGCGAAGGCATCTCCCCATGTTAAAAAAAATAAGCTCCGCCATCAATCGTTTGGAGTGTCTTTCATTAATCAGCGTTTATTAATTCATTAATCAGTGTATGTATAGCGTGCAGATGAAATTGAAAATTGAAAAGAAAAGTTGATATATTTTTCCTTACGAGTATATCCTTTATAATGATCCATTCAATTAAATTAAGCAATATGACTTCTATTAAGGACGTATATACGTTCCGAGCGCTGATAACCTCAAAACAGTTTTTCAAACCTGTAAATATCCATCAACCGCTTATCTTACACAAATATTAATTACACATAACTTTGAGAAATTTTATGGTCTAAATAGTTATAAGAGATTTTTTTTATATTAATACGGCGTTTGTTGATGGTATATATTGAGGTAACAATATCCATTACCCAGTACATGTTCCTATTAGCAATTCAAAATAATAAAACCTGCGGCTGCCAACCCGCCTGCCAAACGTGGCAGCTATGGCGGAATCCTTCCTATGAGGTAATTTATAGAGGAGACCTATATTCAGCAGTAGACTTTAATAATCTGTAATAAAATAAATTTAAAAGATGTCATAACATTCACCCATTTTTATATTCACAGAATAAGGCGTTACTTTTTGAAATTCCATTATATAAACGTTGGAAAAATTTACTTTGTCAATATCCGCTCAATAAAATAAAATGATTTGTTTGTGTTCTGACTTATGAGTGTGTCCTCTAACTAGGTAACTAGTTAGACGAGCACCTCCTCCAAGAAATGCCACGAAGCAGGGTCCTGAGCCACCTGCATCCATCGCCTTCCTGCATGTCTCACCAGGTCGTCACTCCATGTAGTGGGGGGTCGCCCTATACTTTGCCTACCGGTAAGAGGCTGCCACTCGAGAACCTTTTTTCACCATCGGTTGTCGGTTCTTCGAGCTATTTGGCCGGCCCACTGCCACTTCAACTTACTAATTCGTTGGGCTAAGTCGGTTACTATGGTTCTACTGCGGATATCCTCATTTCTAAGTTTATCACGCAGAGACACCCCGAGCATAGCCCTCTCCATAGCTCGCTGAGCGACCTTGAGCTTCCTCATACGGCCAGCAGTGAAGGACCACGTCTCAGATCCGTAAGTCATCACTGGCAACACGCACTGGTTGTACAATTTCGTTTTCAGGTTTTGAGGTATGTCTAATGAGAAGATGTGTCGTAGTTTCCCGAACGCCACCCAGCCGAGTTGAATCCGTTGAAGTTGAAATTTCCTAGTCGGACTATTTGTCCCAGGTAAACAAACTTGTCAACAACTTCGAGCTTAGTGCTCCCAACAACTACCGGCATAGGTGTGACATGGACGTTAAACATGATCTTTGTTTTGTTCATGTTCATCTTAAGACCTATCCGTTGGGAGACACTATTGAGGTCATTGAGCATAGTGCTTAGGTCCTCCAGCGAATCTACTATAAGGACTATATCGTTGGCAAATCGAAGATGAGTGATGTACTCGCCATTGATGTAAATACCGCATCCTTTCCAGTCCAGTAGCTTGAAAACGTCTTCCAATGCAGCGGTGAAGAGTTTCGGGGATGTAACGTCACTCTGTCTTAACACCTTTCTGCAGTTGGATAGGTTTCGTACTCTAAATCTGTACTCGGGTAGCCATCGTAGCTCTGCTGTACAAACACTTCAGCACTTTGATATACCGACAGTCAACTTGGCACCGCTAAAGAGACTGCAGCACCGCCCAAATTTCGACCGAATCAAAGGCTTTCTCATAGTCCACATACACAAGGCAAAGTGGCAGATTATAATCCTCTGTCTTCTGTACAATCTGCCGCAAGGTATGTACGTGGTCTATGGTACTAAAGCCTTTTCGGAAACCGGCTAGTTCGTGAAGCTGGAAGTCATCAAGTCTGCGTGCTAGACGATTCGTATTGACTCTCTAAAACAGCACATAGACGTGGCTCAGAAGGGAAATCGGTCTGTAGTTCTTCAAGAAAGCGTTGTAGCCTTTCTTGGCGAACAAAACCACTGCACTTCTGCTCCACGCCTCCGGAGTAGTGATACCATGGAGGACGGAATTAAAAGAGCTTCTAAAGGACTTCAAGTACCGGTTTTTCACCCGCTTTCTGAAGCTTCTCTATAATTCCGTCCTCGCCCGGGGACATGCCGTTTTTAAGATGCTGGAGAGCCATTCTAATCTCGCTCAGACTTACGTCTGGGGTATCTTCGGAATAGTGTTGGATAAGACTCGCTCTTGGATCGTTACTCACACTTGCGTGTGGCTCCAACGATGACGTGTACAGCTGCCTATAAAACCTCTCATTCTTACTCAAAACCTCAGATGTCCCGGAAACGTTGCTGCCACACTCGATCTTCAGCCTTGACAGTTGGCTCTTTCTGGCAGCAGATCTCTGGCAAAGACTTTGGAGCCTTGGTTCTACTCGATTGCTTCTTCAATACAAGCTGTATTGAAGTTGCGTAAGTCCCGCCGCATGCATTTGGAGATCTGTCTGTTCAGTTGCCTGTATGCTGTCAAATATGTTGAAGAATGTAGCTTCATCTTCCGTCTAACAGCCATGAGATTAAGAGTGTGATCGGAGAGTTTTTGTGTTCTACTGCGGCGGGTCGCGCAGAACTTAGCTCCAACCGCATGGACAGTTTCCACGAGCTTGTCATTCATATCGACCACTTCATTGCAGCCTTCTAGGCACTGAAAAAGGTTTTGTGACTCGAGCTGAAAAGTTTCGGGACTTTGGATCAGAGCACGAGGGGGACGGAGCGTTGACTTTATTAGATGAGACCTCTCCAACTTAACGTTTAGGTTCAGTGTGCCTCTAACCATTCGTTGATCGCTACCAGTTTTCACCTTCGAAATCACGGATACATCACTGAACAGTTGTCGTCTGGTCGTCATAATGAAGTCAATCTCATTTTTTGTCGAACCGTTGGGGCTCGACCAGGTCCACTTCCTTTGGGGCGGCTTCTGGAAGATAGAGTTCATCATAACAAGTCCCTCATTCTCCATGAAGCTGCTGGCCTCTTGCGTTCCGTTGCCCTATTCCAAATTCTCACCGTTCTCTCTTGTGCCTAGTTTTGCATTAAAGTCTCCCATTAACACCGTATATTGGGTTTTGGAGGAATGCATGGCCCTAGAGATATCCTCATACATTTCCTCCACCTCCTCATCGGGGTGTGCCGAGGTTGGTGCGTAAACTGAATGACCTTCAGCGAATACCGTTTGGTGATTCTGAGTATAAGGTACGCAACCCTCGTCGACACACTCTCAATCTTTACAACGTTGTTAACGAGAGACTTGTGGACGATAAATCCGACACCTCCTTGGGACAGATGGTCGCCCTCCCGGTGATAGAGCAAGTTGCCGGATTCAAGGATTACCGTGTCCTCCCCCCTCTCTCTTCGGACTTCGGATAATCCTATAATATGCCAGCGTATTTTGTCTATCTCTTCTTCCAGCTTCACGATCTTCTTATCAGTCCTTAGCATGCGTGCGTTGTATATTGCCAGGTCGTGTCGTCTTAAGTGGCAACCGAACCTCCACCGGAGATTCTTAACACCCCCTGCCCCGCTGTTACCATGGTCGCCACCGTAGCCTGGAATAGAGGGGCCGCCGGGGACTGGGGGCCGTTTCTTTGTTACTCTCGTCATAGGGGGGTATTTGCCATAGTTGCCACGCTTGGCGAGCGGGTTGGCAATCGCAGTTTTTTTATTGTATTTTTGCTCTTATCAGGAAGATGCTGCTGCACATCTCCTGCCTGTTTCCCTTTGTCGCCTTTTACGACACCCACGGAAAGATATGGAGTAGTGGATATTCCTAACCGCCACTACACGGACTACCGCCTCTATACGGACTTCTTTAATTGTAACGTTTTCTATATTATCAGCACTATAAAATGTACGTACTCGAATGTACACAAAAAAAGTTTTTGGTGGCAGTCTACCAAAATCCGTCACTCCGTCTCGACCGATGGACGTTGTAAAATCTATTAATAATCCCGGAAATCCGGAAATGTATTGAAGCAAAATTACAACTTGAAATAATTAATTGACAATACCGTTATAGGAATAAATATATAAACTAATAAAAATATTATATATTCAGTTGAACTACTGGAAATAAAAGTTCAACAATTGTTCAAATAGTACAAATAAGCAGCTTTAACTAGTCACACAAAATTTTTATTGTAATTCTGGAATAAAACATTTGAAGTAGTGCATACATTTAATCACAGTGGCAATAAAAGTTAGACATTAGACTATGAATCACTCACTTAAATTTACTACAAACGGTGCTATGAATTAATTTTATAAACTAAATAGTAATTTATAAACTAAACAAATTATGTTTTTGTAAGAGGTAAGAAATGTTGTCCAAACATTACTCACAATATTCTATAGCTTCTTCATTTTTATTTTAGTTTTTTATTTTAACATCGGAATTTTAGATTTACAATTTTTGTTTTATTCCAACCATAAATTATATGAAATCATTAATTTATTTAATGAATGGTAATAATAACAGTAAAACAGTAATCATAACAGTAATAATAACAGTAAAGTCTTCATATCAGAACCCAACTATAATCCTACAATTCAATTTTGTTTTCTTGTTGTGTTGTTTTTCTATGCTTTACAATGATTGAATAAAATCACTATGAAACTGGAGTAGTACTAATTCGTATGTGATGATTGTGCCGACTACCTGTAAAAATGTAAAAAAAAACTGGGAAATTAAGTACAAAATCATGAAGTAGCATTGATACTAGAGGCTAACAAACATTGCATTACGTTGTGGGACTTAGAAATTAACTCGTAGGCTATACAATTGCTGCTAGAAAATGCCACAAAATTAGTCCCTTTACAAGCACTTTAAGTTTACTTTTTTTACATAAATTTTGATTTTGGCGCACGCAGCATTTACTTTTTTATATTCACCGCAAATACTTTTGTACGTGAATGCGTGCGTGCGTGGGTGTGTATTGTAGCACAGTGCATGATTACAGTCCATAAGCATTATCCTTATTAAAGCTTATAAATAAAAAAAAACAGTTCTCTTTAGCGTTTCTTCTTAAAATTTCATATAATTAAAATATGCGCGATAAATAATGATAACATACGTTTATTGAATTAGAGGTCTGGCATTATATAGGACGTCGATTTTTGTGTTTACTAGTAGTTAGATTTTTAGATAGTATTATCTAAAAATCTAACTATTAATAAACACAAGATCGACTTTGTAGTTTTTTTTTATTTCAAACCAACAAACTTCTTAACATATATTATTCTATGATATTCTCACAATATACTTACAGAAAGTGCAAATTCTCGAGTAACGTAAAAAAATCTGAGTCCACTGAGTGCAACTTCATCGTAGTGCGATAGATCTATAAGTCTTTGTACCTAAAATTAAAAAAAATATGGAATGGATTAAAAACATTTACATCCTCCAAACAAGTTCTCGTTTAAATAATATTTATGGAACTCTTGTAATATTTTTAGAAAATGGTGTTTCGCCGTATTGTGGCAGCATAATAATAACCATCGCCCCATACAACAGAGGGAAATGAGAGAAAACGGAGGGAAATGAAACATACTCCTAGTTTTGTTTTTATTTTGTTTGCCTTAAAAAAAGTTACCTCTACACTACTATTTTCTCTTGTATCGTAGGGGCAGTTACATATATAAATGTTACAAGGACAAACATTCAGACTTGGAACAATTATTTGAAGACCATACAGATACTTGTTCCGTGCGGAATTCTAAACCGCGGCCCTTAGCTCTGCAACTCATTGCTAAGCCAGTGCGCCGCGGAGCCGTCAAGTAGCACAACATTGCTCACCTTATGAAGAAATATATAATATGATAGGCTTTAATGATAGTGGTGGTGGAGATTATATGATGGCATAAGCAGGCCTTATAATATCCTGATAAATGTAAAATAAGTCAAAGGTGCAAGTCAGGTACTATAATAATAATCTGCCTGCCAAGCGCAGCGATTATGTAAAATCTTTCTACCATAAGCGATACTCGAACTATGAATAAATGTATTGGATGTGTTAGACTAAATAGGGCATTTTTATATTTGGAAGGGGCCTAAGTCCACCAACAGACTAACACGAGCTGCTAATGATGACGAAATATACTTTTCTTCACTCCATAGAACCATAAAAGTCCACAGATATAGGTCATCCACAGATGTAGGATGGTTAAGATTATCCCGGCTGGAGTGACCAAAAATGGTTAATTAATTAATTATAATTCAGCGAGAAGGGCTAAAAAGTTTTAGGTTAAACGACCAACTGCTGGTTAAGAGTAATTAAAAGGTTATATGTAAATTAATGGACTTTAGGGTGTCATGCTATTTCATGATACTCCAAATGCCCTAAATTCGGCTACAGGAATAATGTCAAGGAATGCATGTGCACTCTTCTGGACTTCTGCTAATCTGTCTCGTGTCTCAAGGGCTGTAGTACGATGATTCGGCGCCTGCTGTCTTCACACATATAAACTTCACAGATAATTGCGAATTATAGCGTTAGTGTAAGTGTATATAAATTACTACACTACACTACCATATTTTTGTACAGTTTAATATCTAAATTACATAAAGTCGGTAGCAATGACACCAGATAGGAGCGATGGGATTGGTTTCGTGTCTTCTGAACTTATGCAAATTCCATTAAGACCGCAGTGCACATGCTTGGCATATAAGGCGATAGATAGGAAATGGACTTTGCAGTACTCATTTTGGATAATAATTAACGAATCTCATACGCGTTAGGCGGTAGTGTGAAGTGGCGCGAACAGGCAGTATAGGAAATGTTCGCCTCGCTTGGCAAGCACCTTAACACTCGCAGTGCTAAACATCTCGCACTACAGATGCTGCTCTTCATGGCCCGTCTGGGGATTTACGTTTAAAGTAAACGAGTTGTTTAATACATAATTCGCAATACAAAACCCACCCTAATTTATAGCATTCCCCATAGTCGCCACTTACAGCACCAAAGGGACAACATTTGTAAGCATCTACCATCTTTTACGCCGCCACCATACGGCCAAAGACATATGATGATTATTTAAGGAATAACCAATTATACCAACCTCGGTGCAAAAATCTCTTGAGGACACTTTGTATAGAAAAGTAATAGCAGTGCGGGAGGTTGTGTTAACTTCAGAGGTGAAAAAAACCACAGCCAATAATCGTAAAAACATAAAAGCTGTTGAACATATGATGTAGATGCCATGTTGGTTAGATGATCTGAAAAAAATGCATCAACCATGAAGAAAAAGCCACCCAGATACGTAATACACACTTAAAATTTTACTTTTCAAAGAAATGAAACATTTTTTTTATGAATTTATGAATTTATCACGTGGTGTTGCAATTGGAAGCTATGCGACATACTAATTGATAAAACACTCATTCATTATTTATTTTGATATCTCACTGGCCTTGCAATCGTAACCCGCTCGCCATGCGTGGCAACTATAGAAATGTACTCCCCATGATAAGAGTAACGAAGATATGGCCCCCAGTCTCCGGCGGTCCCGCTTTTCCTGGCTACGGTGGCGACCATGGTAACGGCGGTCAAGGGGGCTAAGAATATCTGGTAGAGGTTTGGTTGCCACCTAAGACAACTCGACATAGCAACATAAAACGCACGCTCTCTATGGACTAACGAGAACATCCTGGAGCTGATAAAAGAGACAGTCAATTTGCGCTGGAATATTATAGGATTATCCGAGGTCTGAGCCGTAATAATGATGATGATGGTCCAAAGTCGGTAGAGAGGGGGAGGACACGGTAATTGTCGAATCCAGTAACTTGTTCAATCACCGGGAGGGTGACCATCTGTCCCAAGAAGGTGTCGGATTTATCGTTTACAAGTCTGTCGTTAACAACGTTGTAAAGATTGGGAGTGTGTTGACGAGGTTTACGTACCTTATACTCAGAATTACTAAACGATATTCGCTGAAAGTAATGCAAGTTTACGCACCAACCATAGCACATCCCGATCAGAAGGTGGAGGAAATGTAAGTGAATATATATAGAGCCATGCATTCCTATAACCCACAATACGGTATTAATGGGAGACTTCAACGCAAAACTAGGCACAAGAGAGTATGGTGAGCTGAAAGTAGAAATTTGGAATAGGGTAACGGAACCGAAAGGACCAAGAGGAACTCTTAATGATGAACTCTTTCTTCTAGAAGCGTCCCCACAGGTAGTGGAACTGGTGGAGCGCCGTCAGTTCGACGAAAAATGAGATTGACTTCATTATGACGACTAGACGGCAACTTTTCAGTCATGTCAAAGGGGAAAACCAGCAGTGAACACCAAATAGTGATATCACACAGAAACTAAAAATTAAGAAGGATAGGTCACGTCTAATCAACTCTCGAGCTCTAATCCAAAAACCCGAAAACGTTCAACTCGAGTTACAAAAACGTCTTCAGTGCCTAGCAGATTACAATGGACGATATGAATGACAAGCTCGTGGAAACTATCCATTCGGTGGTAGCTAAGTTCTCGAAGACCCGCCGCAGAAGAACACAAAAACTCTCCGATCATATATATCATGGCTGTTAAATATGAAATTAAGCTGCAGTCTTCAGCAGATTTGACAGCATACAAGTAACTTTTGTACAGTGGTAGAGCCACGCGGCAGCTTTTGCTGTCGCACGGATGGGCCGGCTCGAACCGGGGTGGTACCATGACCTCACAGAAAACCAGCGTGAATTAGAGATTTACCTCTGCGTTTCGCTTGGTGAGTGCAGGTGGCCGGAGGCCCTTTTTACTGGAAATGTGGCATTCCATCTTAGTCCTTACGGGTGACAACGCATCTACATTTTGATTCGTTATAAAGGATACATGTAGATGTCTATGGACCGCAGCAACCACTTACCATCAGGTGGACTGTGTGCACGTTTGTCACCCTTATCCAATAAAAAAAAACTGAACATACGGATTTCCAAATGCATGCGACGGAACTTACGCATCTTCGATTCAGCTCATGTTGAAGAAGTGATCGGGCTGAACCATGGCTCCAAAGACTTTGCCGGAGTCTGTCTGCTAGAAAGAGCCAACTGTCAAAGCCTAAGACCAAATGTGGCAGCATTTTGCAATTTTGCGTGAGATTGAGAGATTCTATGGACAGCTTAACACACCATCTTTGGAGCCACACGCAAGTGCGAGTAACGATTCAAGAGCAAGTCTTACCCGACACGAGATTAGAATGGTGCTCCACCATCTTAAAAACGGCAAGTCCCCGAAACGAGAATAGAATTACAGCGGAGCTTTTGAAAGCGGGTAGAAAACCGGTGCTTGAAGTCCTTTAAAAGCTCTTTAATTCCGTCCTCCATGGTGGCAACACATGGAAGTGTTGAGCAGAAGTGGTGGTCTTGTTCTTCAAGAAATGCAAAAATTCTCTCATGAAGTAATATATACCAATTTTCCTTTTAATCCGCGTCTTCGTGTTGTTTTCAAGAATTATTACGAATCGTCGCGCACGTAGACAAGATGACTTCCAGCCTCCCAAACAGCCGGTTTCCGAAAAGACTTTAGCACCATACATCATTTACATACTCTTCCGCAAATTGTGCAAAATTTTAAGGAGTAAAATATGCCACTATCTTTTGAGTATGTGGACTATGAGAAAGCCTTTGGTTCCGTCAAAATTTGAGCGATACTGCAGTCCCTTCAGCAGTGCCAAGTTGACTGTCGGTATATCGAAATGTTGAAGTGTTTTTATAGTAGGGCTACGATAGCTATCTGAGTTCAGTACCAGATTACGAAACCTATCCAACTGCAGAGAGGTGTAAGACAGGGTTAACGTATATATCAGAACCTCTTCACCGCTGCATTGGAAGACGTTTTCAAGCGAATGGACTGGAAAGGATACGATATTAATATCAATGGTGAGTACATCACTCATCTTTGATTTGCCAAAGATAAAGTCCTTATGGCAGAATCGCTGGAGGGCCTAAGCACTATGCTCAATGACTTCAAAAGTACCTCCCAATGGATTGGTCTTAACATGATCATGGACAAAAAAAAGATCTTGTGTAACATTCATGTCTTATGCCGGTAGTTGTTGGGAGCAATTAGCTCGAAGTTAATGACGAGTATGTTTACCTGGGACAAACAGTCTGACTAGATAAGTCCAACTTCGACCAAGAGGTCAACCGACGGATTCAACTCGGCTAGACAGCGTTGTGAAAATTCTGAAACATCTTCTCGTTAGGTATACCTCAACTTAAAAAACTTAAAAACGAGATTGTACAAACAGAGCGTGTTGCCAGTGATGACTTATGGATCTGAGTCGTGGTCCTTCACTGCTGGCCGTATGAGGAAGCTCAAGGTCGCTCAGCTAGATATTGAGGGGGATATGTTCGGGTTTTCTCTGCGTGATAAACATAGAAATGAGGATATCCGCAGTAGAAACAAAGTGACCGACATAGCCCAACGGATTAGCAAGCTGAAGTGGCAACCCACAATCGATCACGAAAAAAGTTCTCGAGTGGAAGCCTCGTTCCGGTAGGGAAAATGAGGGACGAGCCTCCACTAGATGGAGTGATGACCTGGTAAGTCATGTCGTAAATCGATGGATGCAGGTAGCTCAGGACCGTGGTTTGTGGCATTTCTTGGCCTATATTCAGCAGTGGACTTGTAAAGGGCTGTTATGATGATGATTAGATTATGAACAACAATACTTTTAATTATTCCAACATCACTATGATTAACTATATTTTTAAATATTGTTTTAAAATACCTTTATATAATTAAAAGTATATAAAATTTGTACAAATACTTACGAAAAAATATAATATAATTGAAAACATACAAAAAATAGATTGTTTGAAATAGTCGAGAGAGTTAAGTAACCCATGAGATCATCGAATGAACGAACGATATACGTGATGCGACCGTAATCTTCACGAAGCGATTTCCAATAAAAAGGGTTCATATTCTGTAAGAATCATATTTATTATTAATACTTAATATTTTAAATAATTCTTTATCACTTTCAAACGACTCTTCCGTTTAAAATCTGTGGACTTTCAGTTGGTCAATCGATATACCAACTTTTGTGTGTGCTGAGCCAAAACGGAAAATTATTTCTTTACCTCCATTACAGTCTTGCAAACTCCGCAGCTGAAAATAGGCCTGCCCATAGATTACCTCATAAGGAGCATACTTATAATAGCTGCCACGCCTAGCACGCGGATTGGCAACCGTAGTTTTATTTTCAGTTGTCATTTGGAAGATCTTCTGTTTTATTTCCCTCTGTCACTGCTTAAGTGGGTGTCGTTGATTACTTGCAAGTTTTATTGTAATTGTCGCTTCTAATTCTTATGTTGTCTGCAAACAAATCTTAGTAGGTAATTTTCGGTGCAACATGGCAATCGTAAACTGCACAGCGTGAGGCAACACGAGTTGGCCGGGCGGCGGCAGCGCTTGTGTGAAAGGTAAGGGTAGAGTGAGTAGTAATACCTGATGCATTGTTTCGTACCGAGCTTGATAAAAGAGTTCGGCATCCGCGCGGATATTGAACCTAGTCAGCTGATTTAATTTACACCGCTGGTTTAATGTTTAAGTATTTTCATGATTTTTTTAATGAAATAATCGTTTCATTTAGCTGTACTAACATGATGGAGCGTGAATAAAGCTAATGAAACGTTGTGAAAAGATGATTGTTTTTCTTTGGGGTCGATTTTATACCTGACCCATCATCAAAGGTATCGTTAGTACTATCGTCTGTTTTCGTTTTTGTGAGCGTTTCACAAGCACATAGTATAGGCTGTTAATTTATTTTACTATAATTCGACATGAAACCAATTATTTAAAATATATGGCTATAGGCTATGAAGTATTCTATTCAGGTTCAAAGCATTACATTATACTAAACGATAATGTATTACCTATAACGCTCCTCAAATTGGAGCATAAAAGCTCTTCAAACCTTCAAATACTATGGAAAATTTCTAATGTGAATGCTTTTCAGGGATGGCTACTTCAGTATTTTGATCAAGGATGAAGGTAGTTTAAATGGGCCACAACATCCAAATTATGAATTAGTTTAATAAAAATACTTACTTTTCCTTCTGTAGATATAATTTTAGCGTTGAATTGGTCCAAAATGGAAGTTAAATATAAACTGACGCATATAATAAAAATATCGGGATAGTTCAAAATC